TTTAGAGTGGGGGAGGTCACGGTTATGAGTGAAAGAATATTAATTATGGACCGTTTATTTTGAAAGTAAGTCCATTTTTTTTTTATTATGAGATATCACATAATTTGCAATTAATTTAGTATAAACTTTTTATTTATAACTAGTTAATATTTGATATTTTAAAAACTACCAATGCTTTGTTCAATTTTTCAATAAAATTGGTTAATAAAAGAAATTGCGTAGCGATTATGAAAATGGTGTAAGTCCAATTTCCATAGACATAAATGGCGAGGGGTTACGTGGTTACATTTGTTTTAATTCACGTATCTAAGATAACTTTACTTATTTTATTTTCTTGCAAAAATGGATGACTTCATATTAACATCAGATAGTGATACAGGTAAGAAAATGCCAAGTAAAGAGCATAAATAAATAATTGCATTACCTTATGTTATTAAGATTAACAATATATAAATATAATTAACGTTCAAAATAAAAATTACTACTTCTATTTTATTTCTTGATTCTTTATAAACAAAATTGTTTGTACAACTTTCTCCACGTTTTCGTTAACAAATGAGCACTGCTTATTCTGGGAGTAGTGGATAGGTTAATAAATGAATAAACAATAATATACATTTTCAACAAGATTTTTATTTCACTTTTAAATAAGTTACAGAATACAAAAATTTGATATCTGTACAATTTTATTTAAAACTAAGCAATGTACAATAAAACAAAATGCAACTGATTATCCATCTTAATGTAAGGCCTAACTGTCGCCACTTAAAGGTGAAAGAGTAGTATATAGAAGTGATTAGGGAAAGAGCTTTTAGAGAAGCTCTTGATTCATAGTGAACTGATACATAATAATCCACCAATGAAATTAAAGCTAAAAATTCAAAGAAGCTGTTAATGAAGGATAAGAAATAATTATATAAAACGAAAACACTTACTTCAAGCTATTCTATAAAAAGACCACTTACAATCCACAAATTGATAAAGAAATCACAACGAGAGAAGAAGGAAATTGTTCTCTGGACTTCTCAACTTCATCCACTGAGCCATTCCAATAGAAATCAAGATGTCAGCACTTTTCCATAAGTCTGACACGATCTCATAGACGTCATTTGGTCAAGCAACAGATTTTAACACAATAAATTCCAATATCTCAGTCTCTAGCGAAATTAGTTTGACGAAACCACTTTGACCAATCGCCATTTGTATTGGAAATTGACACATTTACCATAATCTCTCGTGGCGAGCAGTAGAACTAGACGAAGTCATGCGCAAAACGATCAAAAACTGTAAAAACTGAACTGTGTCCGAGTCCGGTCCCAGCCAGCGTTGAGATATTTTTTACCTCGGCCGGAAAGTGGGGACGACGCGATAATGATGAGGATCAATAGTTGGTGGGGGTATGCAGTGATTTTCACGGTAGCGCTGCGGAGAGCTTCGCGAACGCGCATAAGCACGCATGAGGGGAATAGTAGTGGGGATCGAAATACGAGCGAAAAATAGGGGAAGCGAGACTCGAGGTAAAAAATATCTCAACGCTGGTCCCCGCATCTCAATGCTTTACTGTGTATACTGAATCGTGTGGAGGGGGTTCGCTGCGACCCCCACCACCTTCCAAGCTGCGCGAAACGCTCCTAGACACTCGGGAACTCAGGTATAATTAGCAGCACACTCGCCATAAGGAACCCAGCGCGGTTAATTCAAATACATGAAATTTTCATTTACTTTATACTTTTCGTACACATAAAATCAGAAACGAAAGTTGCAACACAAATATAAAATCACTTGGCCAGATGTAATATAGAAGCTGAACGTCCAGAGAACACATAAAACTGTAAAATCGAGGATACAGCATAATTCTGATCGCATTATGCTTAGGTACATTTTATTTGTTTGAAGGTTTCACATATACACGTTAATTGTTAACGACATAGTAAACGATGACATATAGACATTAGAATCTGAGTTTAGACGCCCGCGTCGCGGACCGCCGCGAGAGAAAGATGCTTCGTAATACATACATCACGTAATAATTATACCATCTTAATAATCACCATATACATTTATAATACGTATGTAACAATATTTATAGACATATACAGACGAACTTCGTGTATATCTGTGTTATACATCATTTTTTTTTTTATATATATATATATAGAGATTTATACTTAATATTCATACGTTTGTAACACCGATATGTCGTTTTAGGCATGGAGATTTCACGCGTGTCTGTGTAAAACCGTGTGTGTCTGTGTAAATCGTGTACGTAGTCCGTGATAATAAATGCACGCATAGATAGTAGAATCACTCGCGTCTCAAGATCACGCGATTTTTTTTTTTAATACCTAACCTTAATGAAAGGGGTAGACATAACCTATATAGGTACTATCCATCGTGTTTATCGATAAAATCGTTAGTGTATATGTTTTGCGTGTACTTGCGAGCTGCACGAGCAGCGTATACAGTAATAATTATAAGACGACAGCTTGGTGCGCACAGGTAACGAAGCGGACATTATGTAGAAGAGAGCACCGAGATCTCGACGATTGAACGAGGGACGTTCATAGCAAAGTAGAAATAGAGAGGACTGGGGACTGAGGAGACTGGGGGGGGGGATTAGAGGTTTAGAGGTTAGAATGAAATGGAGGCTTCGCTCTGCCTCCATTTTGTTAAAAGTGTCACGTGGTTCTCTCACCCGCCACTCACTTCTCACGATCTTCGATCGATTCACGCTTACAGGTATCTCACGTGGTTTTGTGGTACACGTCGAACAATTTCTCGCGTCTCAGAGTATTACGCGCTACGATCGAAATAAATATATACGTATCCATATTATATATGTATAATAATAATAATTATAATAATAATAATAATAATAATAATAATAATATATATATATGGCTATGCCGCGCACGGCTCGTCGGCTGCGCCTGCAACGACCCCGGCACCACTGTAAGACACTGTACAAAAATACCGCTTATAATAATTAGTAATAATAACAACGCAGCCGGCGAGACTGAAAACCTACGGCGATCAAAGATATGTCTCGACATGGTTCTTCGGGTTTCGTCCCAAGAACGCGCGGATACGCGCGCGAGGGACTGGCCCAGTTCATCGTTTCTACGATCACCTAAGAGAGGATATGTTTCGCTACATGAGCCAGGAGTACCGACGCTTTTCCTTATGCCAGCCAGATTTTGTTGGTCGAATTTATCAAGAAAAACTGAATTTTAGTCGGCCTCAAAGAATAGTAAAACCAGATCTGATAGGAAATAAAATGAATCAAACCTATACTCTATTTCCCGAGTGACTAGGAGTCGGCACGGTTCAGTTTTCGGTCGTTTTGCGCATCTCCCACCCATATTTAGCAGTTCCCAATACAAGCGTGTCCTTATTGTCCTACTGTGTATAATGAACCGTGGTCGGTGGCGAATAACGCGTGGTGGGAGGTCCGAGACTTTCGCTGCGGCCCCCACCACCTTTAAGCTGCGCGGAAGGCTCCTAGTCACTCGGGAAATAGAGTAATCTAATACTATTAGTCAAATAACGAACCGATAAATGAAGGTCGAATTACTCGTTTTTAAATAATCGACCATTTGGTAAGAAAAAACCTAAAAAAATAGTAAAACCAGAAATAAAATGAACCAAAACTGACCTAATTCTATTAGCCGAATAACGAGCCAATAAATGAAAATAGAATTACTGAACTCGTTTTTAAATAATCGACCATTTGGTAAAAAATAAACTGAAACGGATCGATACTGAGAGAAAATGGACCTCAGCTCCCTTCGATTCAGTCTTTAAGGGATGTAAACTCCTGGCTCACGGGGTGGGTGTTCTACGCTAACCTTACTACTCTCTTCATTTAAATCGACAACCTCATTGAGTGCGGAGTCATTAGTAAAACCGAATGAATCATCACTTAATTCTACTCAATTATTAATTGCATTCAATTTTCATATTCAACGGTACGACCGATTCAATTAAAACTACATCAGATAAAATTGCACGCAGCGCCACTACCGCAGTCAATGGGTTTATTTCTGTTCTATTATAACGTCCTTATGAATTTACAATTGTTAGCGATCTGTTGTACCAGCGGATGGAAAAGTAGGAGCCTGGATGAAACTGAAATGTCGATATGCCTCCTGCGGATCCTAAGCTATGTGTAGGGCCTGCAGAGAATTCCACTCGGCGTATCGTTCCTGAACTTAATTTCATTTATGCTTGAGAAAATTTTAATTCGAATTCTGCTATGGAGGTTTGAGGATATAAACGAATAATAGATAAGGATTTAAGGAAATAGATGAACGCAATAGATAAGAGTTTAAAGAAACATACAAATCCATGAGGTTAAGGAAATAAACGAACGCAAAAACTTGAATGATGAAACGAATTAAATTATTCGCTGGTACGACAGAACGCGAACAATCTGTATCATCGTACGGATTGTTAAAAAAAGATTCACTGGATATATATATAATATATAGGTATATAATATATCTTTGATGATCGTAATAATGTGTATATATGTATATACGTAACGTATATATATTATGTATATATTAACAAATAAATTCTCTTAAATCTCATACGTTCACGATATGTATACGATTCTTTAGAGATTACAATGAAGCCTTAGATCGATATTAATAATTAACTGTTATCTTACAAGTTAAATTTTTGGGCGTATAAATGATATGTGTGTGTTGTGTGATACCGACGCGACCATTCGTTCCTTAACGATCGAAGGATAGGAGGAGTTCTTTTTTAACGATCCCGTTTGATGCAATGCAGAAATTACAGTTATCGACAGGCAATATTGCAGAATAATCTGATCTGAGTTCGAGGCTAAATTTCCGAAAACCACCGAATTGGCTGAAATTTTGGAAATAGATTATGCTCTGATAAAAATAATGATTGCGAGAAGGATTTTTGTCGACTTGAAAGAAAAATTTGTTCCATTTCAGTCATTTCCTATGTTATCGACACAGTTGTACTTTACTTTTGAAAAAGTCTATGAAAATTTTTACGGAGGTATCAGGATTTTCGTAAAAACAATAGAATGTGTAATAAAAAAGTATAATTCTAACGTAAATTAGGGTGAATCTCTCGACGTAAATTCAAATCCCGAGGATTTTTAGCGACTCGAAAGAAGAATTTGTTCCAATTCAGAGTCATTTCCTATGTTACCGACACACTTGTACTTTGCTTTTAAAAAGTGTATGAAAATTTTTAAGCAGATTTGAGGATTTTCGTAAAAACAAAAGAATGTATAATAAAAAAAGTATTATAAGCAGCTATATTTCCCTGATTCTCTGCTCTCAATATACATCAGACTCTTTTTATGCTGTCTTTATTATTTATTAGAATTAACTCCATTTCTCTTAACCATTCGATGTCATTATCAGAGTCACTGATTTTCTTAATTGAAAACAGCAGATTCTCTAACTCGCTTTCAAAGCTGTTTTGCGTATTCCCGCGGTTGTAACTACGTCGGTAATGTAGGCAATGACACTCAAACGATAAAAATCTTTTTTCGAGTCACGAAAAATCCATCTCGCAATCATAATTTTTACCAAAAAGAGACATATTTTCAAAATCTCAGCCATTTTGAAGCATGCGGGTTTTCGGAAGTACAGCCGAGTACGAAATAAAAACGTTCTGTATATCCTTTCGATCTTCGGAACGATGGCTCGCATCGTGACGTTACTCTTACGCTAAACTAACTCGTAATATTAATCACCTTAACATGAAATTACTCTATTAATTGTGAAACACAATTTACTTTCCACGTGTCATGTTTAATGTATTTTTTTTTTTATATTAATATCCTTGCGCGATACGTAACAGTTTACGAAAGGTGTTCGATGGTTATTTACCGTGTGTCGCCCGACAAATATTTGCAACCGACCGGTTTCTATATAAGACTATATGCAATAATATTGTTACTTCTACGTGCTGAGTTTACGTGCAGGATTTGTCATCGTACTTTCCACGTTTCACGATTCGCAATAATCGAATCTAAAAATATCCTACGTGTATAGATATCAATATTACTTGACCGAGGGGTGGTGGTGGTGGTTGTGGTGGTGGTGTTGGTGGTGGTGGTGCGCGCTCATTCGTTCAATGAGCTTCGAACACGTTTCGCAACTCGAAATATTACGAGCAATGTCCGCACGTCGCAATCTGTGTAACCGTTAGAGGAGTGGGAACTCAGAGCGCAAAATTATTTAAAGTTGACCGTGCTTGGCAAAAGCGTATGCAACTGCGACGTACCCGACGATCATCTTCGCGGCGTTGCTGAGAGGTCTACCCAGGAATGGGTTAAGAAATCGCTCAGGACGGTAGTGGGGATGGCTTCTTCTCACTCCCACCATTGGTAGGTTATCCCCACTACCGTCGTGACGGATTTCTTGCCCCATCTCTCTTACTAACCGTGATCTTACCGCGCACGCGCGTCAGGCCCGGGGCAGCGGGACCACAAAACAAAAAGCTACGAACCATTTGAATGATAGCTACGTTTCTCTCTGCGTATGTATGTATGTATGTATGTACTCTGCCGGAATTGACAAGTGTCGGCTTCCTGTTGAGCACATTACGTTTTATCAACCGTCGTTATTTCATTTCGACCGCTCCTTTCTAAATGGAGTTAAACACACCGAACGATCTCAAGATATCAAAGACGCCAGCTGAAGAGCGCGTCTGATCACCGCCATTGTTACTTTTCACGAACGAAATTCCGATCGACCCTGAACTCTCTCAGCAACGGACCAAACCACTGGAAAGATCTATCGATTCTATGCACTGGGGAAATATTGCTGACGGGAGACTGCGACGTGGGAACGTGCAACATCAAGAAGAACGTTCTCAGGAACGCGCTGATATGTATAAGATGAATGTCCGCGGGTCGTAAAACGGTGGCTAAATTACAGACATTCGAATTCTCTATCGAGCTTTACTACCCCGCGAGTTTACGCGAACTTCATTTTTTTTTTTTATCATTTTTTTAATTAAACATCCAGAAAATACTTGGCAACGATCTTGATATGTAACGTTCGGTGAATAAAGGCTCGTACGACATTATGCGAGCAATTATGTTCACCCTGTTAGCTCGCGATCGAAATTTCCTCGTCTCCCATTTTACTTCAAACGAAATTTCATAACCTCAAAAATGTATAATTCGAATCACGAGGCTTTTGGTGTTGCAATTGTTTAAATTTATGGGTAAATGAAGGAGTCGTCAATCGGCGTCACGTCTCCGCGACCGTGGCGCCATTGACCGACTCTAGCGAACGAAGGAAACGAGGAAATTGCCGCGTTCGTGAATCAGTGGTACAGATATTCGGGTAGGCGATCCTGATTAAAGTATAGCGATGGCTGTGATCAGTACCTGAAGCACCGTTTCCACGTAGACGCAGCCGGACGCTGATGAAGTCCTCCCGGCGTTCTTGCCTACGCAGCCCATTCTCTCCAACGGTATGTTCTGCACGGAGTACTCCCGGTGCTCTGCTGGCATCGTGCACACAGTGTGCTTCCTCGACATCCTCTCGTCATCCTTGTCCTTCAGGTTCCCCAGCCAGACCGAATACCATCGCAGCTCGCAGTTGCAGATCAGTGGATTATCTGGAATAAATAAGAAAGGACATCTTTAGAAATGATACACGAGATCTCATGGTGGAAAGACATTAGGTGGGTTTTTTCGGTGGCGCCATTTTTGTTATCTACTAAGGTCTTATCGATTTTGTTGCCAAAAATAAAAACTGATGAAAACAACTAATATCTCAGGCTGGCAGTTGTAAAATGGGGGATGGTAATACTAAAAAATTGAATATTTCCTATCATCAGCATTGAAAGTTATAAAGTGTCGCAATGTTTAGCTCAGCATGAGTTCTCATTATAATGACCGAATGTTCGAGACGTAGTTGAGGAATTATTAACAAAAAAACTCCGACCAATCAGAGCGCTCGATTGGCGCGATCTCCCAATCGGGAGCGTTGACTCGGATCCGGACTCGGATTATTTGTCATTTTCTTAAAACGCTTCGTATTGAGTGAAACGGTTGTTCACGCATCAAAGGCCAGACGTCCAGATTCGAGCCAACGCTTCCGATTCGTAGCTCGCGCTAACCGAGCGCTCGGATTGGTCAGGGTTTTTTGTTAATAACTCCTCAACCACGCCTCGGACCACTTTTTCGCTAAGGAAAATGTTGTTCAAAATCACTTCAGGAACCACCCATTTCAATATCTTACACTAGTTTTGGGACAAAGAGAAAAAAAATTATGGTGCTCATAAGAAAAATCCCTTAAATCCTTGATTTGAGCTGTCCAATTGATCAAGAATTCTAACTCTCCTAATTCTTATAATCACCAGACTTCTGATTCGCTTGACATTTTACTTTTTAATGAAAATGTTTGAAGAGTTTTTAACGAACGGATGAATTTCAAGTGGGCAGGTGCTCGAGGAGTAATTACGACTAGAAGACGTTAAGGGGTGCCGTTATTGAGAATGAAAAACGTGCTGGTTCAAAGACGTCTCTTAAATCGTAATTACTGCCCAGCTTCTGTAAGGTTCGGTGAACGAGGCTTCAAGAGTCCTTAGTGCTTACCGGTGATATCGATGTGCCGTAGGGTATCCACGATGTTCTCGATCACCTCCTCTGGTAGCTCGGCGATCTTGTTGTTCTGCAGGTTCAACGTCTCCAGGGAGTTTAGGTTTTCGAAAACCAGGGTCGGCAGTACCTTGATCCTGATAACAAAGAAGATAGAACACTCCCCGTTACGTGATACGTAACTCTGTGGGGCGAGCCAGAATTATCGCTTCGAGAACGATCTTCACTTGAAGCTGAAGCTGCAACGATTCTGTTTAGTGAGTCGTCTTTACTTCAATCATCGAAGATACAACTCTAACGTGCTTATTAGATCTGCAGGGTCAAGACTGACGAGGTCTAGAAGACTGCATGAGTGGCGAAGAAGAAAACCAATGCACATAGAAAATAATAAATAAGGACAAGGACTCTCAAGGCAGAAATTAACCTAGACAAATGATTGTAGAAGTTAAGAGACAAACTAACTAAACTAACCTAAGTGGATCATGCGAGATTGCCAAATGCCAAAGGTTGTGAAAATCAGAATGAAAATCAAGAAACAGGAAACAGATAATAGCATAGAACTAGAAACACAGAAGACCTAAAAGGACACGTGGCCAACCAATACAAAATCAGGCATGGCCAACTCATTTCTCCCTACTCCAATAGCTTTCCCCACCTCGTACCATAATCATAGTAATACAGCCGACCATAATACGTTCACACTACTTAACGCATCCCCACCTAGGCTCCCGCTGAAGGTCGTGTCGCGTGCGCGACACCTTTGGCCATGCCTGTAGTAAATTCTCAAGAGTATTAAATTAAAGCATTAAGAAAGTACAGAGGAAACAATTAATATTCACGAAAGAAATTCAAAATGTCGAATTTACGTGTAAAAATAAGGTACGCGGTGCCCGACGGCAATGCTGCCCCCTGACGGGCCTCAAACTTGCCTTCGGGCCGCTACCGCGCCCCTTGATGATCAATCTCAAAGCGATATTATACTTGCGGTCCCGAGAATCTAGGACCGTTTCACACAGCTTGAAAGCTTGTAGAGGTCGCAGCGAACTCCCTCCACACGGTTCAGTATACACAGTAAAGTATTGAGATGCGCAGAACGATCAAAAACTGAACTGTGCCCGGTCCTAGACTCTCGGGACCACGAACATAAGTGCTGGTTCGCCCCGTAAGGAAGTTACCCAACGAAACGAGATAATTACAAATTTTTCTGAAGATTTAGGAACGTGATGGAGTCCCCGTATCCAGTGAAAGCGTCATCCGCTACGGCGCTGATGTTGTTGGCTTTCAAGTCGAGGTGGCGAAGCCGATGCAGGCGTCGCAGAGCGTCGCTCGGGATCGAGTGCAAATTGTTATCGCCCAGTCGCAGATACTGCAGGTTCTCTGCAATCGCGTTAAAATAAAATACGCGTTCAGCGTCGAACGTGTTTTTTGCGAATTAACGTGGACGATTCCGATGGAAATTAATCGCACGAAATTCGTTTGAATCGCGTGCGACCAACGAGTTCTCGCAAATTTCGTTATCGTCCGTGTAATCGTCGATCGTGATCGTACTTTTTAAAATTTACGCGTTTCGAAACAAAACTGTGTAAAATATTCAACGCGGCCGCTCGTATATATTATGTTTCATTAATGCGGGACGGCCCGGGGAAATATTCGGGAATAATTGAAAGGAATTTGTTGAAAGATAAATAAAATGAAGGCGGCCACGTCGGCCGATTAATAAAACATAACAGAAACCGAGTTTCCTTTGCCGCGGCAAATTACATTTCGCCCGAGCTCGCAGTTACTTTATCAGAAAACGCGTTTAATGCCTCTCCTCCCCCTCCCCCTCCCCCTCCTTTCACCATCAACGCCGTTGATCAATACTCGAAATAACTTAAATACGCAAACGTTTCCCGGGGAATTAAATTGTTCTGAAATAAAATTGTTTGCTCGGTCTTATAAAAATCGGTATAACGTCCACGTTTATTCAAAAGACAGAGTCAATGAATAACGGTCGGTTCGATCGACTCTCGGAGAGTTGGTCATATACTTGAAACGAACGGCGGACTTCATTACATTAGCATAGAGAACTTCCGAGTACGGAACTAACTTCGCATCGGTGAATTTCGCAAAATTTTTTTTACTAGAAAGTCGTCGACCGAGTTGGCAAAGCAGCCATCCCTTTCAAGAATATTCTTTGAAAAATCTACTAGCATAATGCGCAACGCGTTTGATCTCTCTGTGAAAATAATTCAAACTCGGTCGCAAAATATGCTAGTTATTTCTTTATAAAAGGGATTCGTACTCCGAACTTGTTTCTAGGAAATTTACACAACGACAGATTGAAAAACAAGCAGATTTTTAAGGATGTATAGGTTATATACGTAAATAATGGT